CGAATACACTATTCGATTACAAGTTTTATGTTAACCAAATGTTTTTTTCATCTCTTTAAAGACAGGAGAACTTCGAGGGTGCTTTACGGTTAATGCAAAAAGCTACTGCCATGCCAAAACGAAAAGTTGCCTATCATGACGACACTGAGACAGTGCAAATGCGGCTATATCGTTCTTTAAAAGTGTGGTCTATGTACGCCGATTTAGAGGAATCCTTTGGCACATTCAAAACCTGCAAAGCTGTCTACGATCGTATTATTGATTTGAAAATTTGTACTCCTCAAATTATCATCAATTATGGTCTCTTTTTGGAAGAGCACAACTATTTTGAAGAAGCTTTTCGCGCCTATGAAAAGGGTATTGCGCTTTTCAAATGGCCAAACGTATACGATATTTGGAATGCATATTTGACGAAATTTCTCAAACGTTATGGCGGCACAAAGTTGGAGCGTGCGCGCGATCTTTTCGAACAATGCTTGGAAAACTGTCCACCCGAGCATGCTAAGTACTTTTACTTACTGTATGCGAAATTAGAAGAGGAGCACGGTTTAGCGCGCCATGCTATGGCCGTTTACGATCGCGCCACTAGTGCCGTCAAGCCAGAGGAGATGTTTGATATGTACAACATTTTCATTAAGAAGGCAGCAGAAATCTATGGCCTACCGCGTACACGTGAAATCTATGAGAAGGCTATTGAGGCATTGCCCGAAGAGAACATGCGGCCTATGTGTGTGCGGTTTGCAGAGATGGAAACTAAGCTTGGCGAAATCGATCGGGCGCGAGCTATTTACGCGCATTGTTCGCAGGTGCGTATTATTGTAAAGCTTTTCCCTAATGTATACAATTTTAAATATCTTTTACTTTTCACACAGGTATGTGATCCACGCATAACCGCTGATTTCTGGCAAACTTGGAAAGAATTCGAGGTGCGTCATGGTAATGAAGATACAATGCGTGAAATGTTGCGCATCAAACGTTCAGTGCAAGCCACTTACAATACGCAAGTGAATATGATGGCTGCACAATTTCTTAATCAGACGAGCGCAAGCAGTGCCGCAGATGGCGGTAGTGATGCGATGCGTTTGCTTGAAGCCAAGGCAGCAGCAGAGCAACAAGCGCGACAACAACAAACACTCAAACCACAAACCAGTGGAAACATTATGTTTGTGCGTGGCGAAACACAAGGAGGCAATGCAAAGGATAAGGTGGTCAATCCGGATGAAATTGATATTGGCGAGAGCGATGAAGATGAGGAAGACGATGACGAGGCTGATGCTGGTGGTGGCGCAACAAACGGTGGGAATGAAGAAAATGTTATAGCCGCAAAAAGATTACGCATCGAGCAGCAGGCTATACCGGCAAAGGTGTTTGGCAGTTTGAAAAAAACCACAGATGAAGATGAGCAGGATGTAGATTAAGTGAAGCGATTTAGCAGCACATGAAAAGTTGTATGCTAGATAAAAACATTACTAAGAATAACCAAGTTAGATACGCATATACCTACTGTATAATTATTTTTTAAATTAATGTATTTAAGCCCAAAACAGCAATTATTGTTTACTTATTAACTATGGTGTCACAGCAGCCAAACCTCTGGCAAAAATGGTTAGTAATAGAGTTAAAAGGCAAGTTTTCAAAAACTTTTGTATCGTGATCGGCGCGTCATTGCACGGCATCGTACCCAACTGTGAATCGCAAACGCAAACTTCTACCTCTAAGCCGGATATATATTTTTGGCGATAACAACCGCTGGTAGCATTCACTTTAGCGCACATATAGGTGATGTTTTGAACTGCGGGAATTTTATTAGGTAAAATCGAGATGTAGAATTATGGAGGGTAAATAGATAAATAGATTTGAAATGAGGATAATAGTTGTGTGATATGATATTTAAATTTGGTTTGATATTTGCATTAAATACAGCCCTAGTAGACCATAGTCTGTAGCCGCTACAACAACCACAACAACAATCCATAGTCTTATGTCCGTTAGTCTCAGTCCAGGCCGAGGGGTAAGCGGAAAAAGTCGAAAGTGTTTTTGAGGTCTTGTAATTTCAGCGCTGTTGTGAATAAGATACGGTTAACAGCGATGTTCTTGCGGTTGATCATGCCGGCAATTTATCCCGTATCCTTCGTCAGGGTATTTCACCAGCTATAAAATTCAGGCAGCCAACGGGAAGACAAAATCCTCCTATCCGTGGCGAAATCCATGGAAGTACTACTACTCCTCAGTCTGACGAAGCACCTCAAGCTAGCCGAATACCAACATGGATTCCGGAAAATGCACAGCACCATCACAACATGGACCGCCAACACCACACAGATTTGCGAAGGTATGAACCAACGTAGACGTTGTGATAAGACGGTACTAATCGCAGTTGAAGGCACTCGACACAGTGAGCCACGCGACCCTCTGCCAAGTCATCCTGGACTTGTCGCTTCCAGCGCGGACGAAACGGTGGATAACCAGCTATCTGTGTGGACGTCAATCATCCGTCAAATTTCGTAACGCTAACGATAAGTTAACCGACTATCTGCAAGGAACCCCAAAATCTTTGCCGCGAAATCTACCGCCACGGAGTGACGCTTTATAGTCTGTTCTCCCTCTCCGCGCCTCAGCCACCTGCAACTAGCTTCGAAACAGGGACGAAGTCCTCAAGTCGCTAGCTAGCAGCATTCGTGGATCCTAAAAGATACCCTGCTCGCAACCTACAAGATGCTGGCGGTTAAAAACTTAACCACATGTTGTCAAAGCAATTCCGCGTGGTATGTCATCGTGGAAACCAGCCGAACTACGCTCTGCTTCGAAACAATCTACCCCCACTAAACGTGAGATGACACCTGCACAACTGGAAGCCAAACATCGAGCCGTACGGAGAACATCCGTTCGACACAAAATACAAAGCGGTGCTGAACAGCCCATACAGCGCTGCGGCCAGAACGAGCCGCAACACCCGAAAAGACAACATCGTCCTCCCAGAAACCCCGGGGGTTGAGAACTGTTGCTACAACAACAAAAGCCTCTCTATACAGAATAAGCATATCGATGCTGACGGGAGTATATTACCTCATCAAGGTCCTTAATTTGCCAATGACCTCTCTCATCATACCTGACGTGGGCTTTTTCTCCACTTCTGACATGTTGAAGCCTTAGTGAGCGCTTACACAACTGAAACTTTTGGGGAAAACGTTCAATAAAGTAGAGTCTTATCATCCGATAATTCGCCATTCTTAAGTTATGAAGACACTAAGCATAAACATGGCTTCTGTAAAGTGTACAGTGACGCCATAGCAATCGTATCCCTCGTTGTGGCAGCGTCTGAGAAAGATCTGTCCTACGTCAGTACGAGTTAGGTCGTAGGCAACCTGTCTAAGACTTCTTTGCAACCGGCTTAGGCTCTTGATGGCATTTTCCATGAAATGAAAGCAATCTGTTTAAGGATAGCCGCCTTAATATTTCCTTAAACGTCAGAGGTCATTCAGCTGATCTACCAAAAGATACTCCGCAAAGGATATTAAATCTGCAACCTAGTGTTTGATACGTCAAGTCATCTAAAGTGTTAAAGTACACTAGTACACAGACGAGGCAGGTACAGATATTTTTGGACCAGCACCAAACTTGCAATTTCCAT